TACTGATAAATAGTGTAAAATTCTAGAAATAATTAAATGGAAATGATCAAGTGTACTCAGATCTTAATCATTAAGGTTGCAGTAAATAGACTCCAATTATATTGTGTCAAAGTGACTTTAAGTCCAAACTGTCTAAATAAGCATTTTGTCTATGTAAGGACTTAATTACATTTCCCATTTTTAGACTTTAGAGGATGTCATCCCTCTCTAATAGCCTTTTAGAATATAGAGGTCATTTCAGACTCTCCTAAGGACAAGAGGTGTGTAGAGTATGTGGAAGCCACATAACCATCCAAATGGTTTTAATGTTATTATGATAACCTTTTTTATCTTGCTTAATATTTAGGATCTGATTTACACCCTTTGCCCTGTTTATATGAATCCACAGCAGACAAAACTGCCACTGACAATGAGTGTCCTAGCCTGTCTATGGACAATGTTGAAGAAGGAGTCATACAGGGGTATAGCAGAGTGTAATAAATACAGAGTGTACCTGCAGGCCCAGAGCTTTTTGTATTCCTTGCAATTTTTATTTGTCTGGAAAACTACATCAAAATGAATAAAGTATTCCCAAAACCATTGCAGTAGCATCATGCTTTTATTGTCGATTCACCATTCCTCAGCCTTTCTGCAACCGTTTTTGGTACATAAGGTGATATCTCTTTGGCTGTCCTTCAAATTGATAAGAATGTTGTCCATGTTCTGATGTTATGGCACATATAACATGAAACAGTGGCCTTATATACCAAAAGGTCTAATGGAGAAATAGTGCACACCTGTTCCAAATGTGTAGACTGCAAACTGCCACTTAAAACACATCTTTCCATTGAGCAGTGATTGGCTTTTAGATTTAGTGAGTGGTCTTTAGCCTACACAAATTAAACACAATTCAGTTAGCAGTGAATGCCATTGTGTGTGCCATTTAGCTGAATTATCCTATTCCTAAGTGGTATGTATGAAACTGCAGTTTGTAAGTGCATATATTCATATATTATCAACATCAGTGATGACATCAAATTGTTGGGAGATAAAACAAACCTATTATAACTAATAACATAACATGCAATACTGGATGTTATTTTATGGATGTATTTTGTAGCAGTACTTCAGTAGAAACACCAGTGAAGGATGTGCCCAATATTAGTCACTAATTGGGTCATTGGGGTTAATTTGTACATTGTATGATTGTGTAGAAGTCTGTGCTTCTTCAGGCACAGGCAAAGCAATTATTTAGGCATTGAAGATGAATTTTGGCTGTGGTTAATTAAAGATGAATCTCTTAACACAATCGTCTTCTGAACACCACATTGTTTTGTTCTTACATTCCAAAAGAGCTTACTTTCTGTTGTTGATTCTTGTAAAGAAACAGAACACCATGCTCATTCACACCGATTTTGACACATCCACAAATTTTGACACATTACATGTGATTTTTTATTATGTGCAGGAGAAATTTATTTACTTGTAATAGTGGCAGGATTTTACGCTATTTCCCAAAGTGTGCTGATGCCCCCTAGTGGGCTGCCAATGTATTACAACTCCACATACAGGACATAAGACCTCTTACACTGACAAGCTCACCGTCTTCTGAGAGACCATTAGAACCATTAGGATTAAAACCTGAAGGTTTTGCTTTCTAATGGGAATTAGCTTAATGGTTACCATTAGAGACCACTAGTTTTCTGTAGGACACCTTTGGATCCATTCAGGAAATCTTCAAATGCATCTGGAGTCAGTCCCTGAATACCTGTTAAACCAGTCAAGTCCTTAACACTGTGATATCAGCCCATCAGGAAAACACTAAAAGTAGTTATGTTATACCTGAAGTTTGAGAGGGAGGAAAATGGTTGAGACCCCTCATTCTTCTAATCTAACTCTCTATAAATTCACATCTTCACTTTCCCGTGATGAAGGGTTTGCAATCCCCACCGCCACCCCATCCGCCCCATCTAGTTACAGGCTGAAGCTGCCCAGAACTCCAGCTCAAGTTCTCAGAATTCTCCCCCCTCTTTCAATCAGTCTTCCCTCATACTACTACCACATGTTAAAGGCATGGTCTGAACTCACAAAATACCATTAGAGACTATTGGACACCACCAGGAACCAACAGAAAGTTTTAATGGTTTCTGTGATTTCTTTCAGCAGGGCTGTCTTTAGTTTTGCACTTTCAATGCTTCATTTATCTCAGATGTGTCCTAAATCTATCTTTAATGAACTGAAAATGAAAAAAAAAACAATAGTGCTTGTTTTTCATTTATCTCATAGAAAACAGAAATAACACTTTAGCCGGAGTTCTCCTTCTCTCCTTCATCTCTTCAAAACCAACACACGGTTGATTATTATTATTATTATTTTGATTGGTGAGTGTGGGTGGGCTAAAGTCGACTGATAAAGCAGGATGCATTTTGTGGATAAAATGCGCAGTTAGCTGCAGTACAGTGTAGCCTAAAATCATGAGACAAAACCAAACGAGATCAAATAAAGTACTACTATGACTGACAGGACCACTGCTAAAACAAAGCACAATCCAAACTAAAATCTAAGAGTAGCTTACTACACAAGTCTCATTCCAAAACAAAATATATTTATTTTAATGATTATGGATTTTATGATTATTAGATAACTATTTGATATTGATCAGATTTATGTGTAGTACATACACAATAACTAGTACATACACAATAACATACACAATAACTATTGTTTACACATTTTCCTACACATTTAGGTATACATTTAAACACAAAAATAAATAATGATAATGGATAGAACAATATCAGTAATGGATGAACTGAAATTGTGGTATTAAAGAGTTTTGAAATTTTGTGTGATTACAATATTTCATATGTTAATTATACCCATTATAAACATAGGTTATGGCCACTTATTTTATTCACCCTCTTTACACTCTAGGAATCCGTTATGCTGCTTAGACACTATTTTAATATGCTGCTGCATGTGAAAGACTCTCTGTATTACACACCAGCACATTTGTGCCTTGTGTGCACCGTTTGTTTACTGTGCTGTTACATATTGCCCCAAGGCCTTGGAGAAAGCTATTTTATCCAACTGCACACCTGTATATGGCTGGAATGACAATAAAGATTAATTTACCTGACCTGATATCCTACAAACTCAATTCCAAAAAAGCTGGGACAGTATGTGAAATGTCATTAAAGCAGCAGTGATTAGTAAATTGTTTGGCCTGTATTAAAAATTTAAACAATACCAAAAAATTATATTTGATATTTTATCTTGCACTGTTTTTTGTTTGTGTTTTTAGTCTTAAATTGCTCCTGTTCCAACTTTTTTAGAACATGCTGCAAGCATCATTTCAGAATGAGCATATATTTACAACAGTAACAAAGTTGATAACAAAATATTACATAGCTTGTCTTTGTACTGTTTTTATTCTAATAAATCAAAGCAGATTTATAAATTGCTTTTTGTTTCATTTGCATTTCACATACTGTCCCAACCCAATTTTTGGAATGGGGTTTGTATTTTAATAAATATAACAGAACACTAAAAATATGGAATTACATTTATAAAAAATAACATAGCATTTTCTTCTTATTCTGAGCTTTTAAACATGAAATGCTGAGTGTGAGCTCATTATGCTTTTTGCTTACCTAATGCCCAGTGTTTCCCAACCCTTCTCCTGCAGTATCCAGGCCTGCACAGTTTAGTGCTTTCCCTGCTCTAACATATCCACACAAGGACGGACTTGTTCATTAGTATATTTGAATCAGGTGTGTTGAGAGCACAAGAACCACAGCTCCATCCATCATCTAAGCTGCTTATCCTCCTGGGTCACGGGGTGCAGGAGTCTATCCCAGTGGTCATTGGGTGGAAGGCAGGAAACACCGTGGACAGGTCACCAGGCCATCGCAGGGCAGACACACAGACACACAGGTTTACGCACACAAAGACACACAGACATACACATTTACACACACACGGGGCAATTTAGCATGTGCAATTGGCCTGACTGCATGTCTTTGGACTGCAGGAGGAAACCAACAGACATGGGGAGAACATACAAACTCCACACAGAAAGGACCCTGGTCGCCTAGCCAGGGAATCGAACCCAGGCCCTTTTTGCTGTGAGGTGACGCTAGTAGTTATTAACCCCGGTAAAAGTCAAAATGATTTAATGACTTACGTGTGACATCACGTGTGAAATACGTAAAGAATTTTCCCAGGTTGTTGATGTGTATAAAAATGTAAACATCAGTTGTATGACGTGACATGTGAAATATGTAAAAATTTTCCCAGGGGTTGGTGTGTGTAAAATGTAAACAGTTGTATGATGTCACGTGTGAAAATTGCATCTAATTTTCCCAGGAGGTAATGTGTGTAAAAATGTGAACAACTATTGTAGGATGTAAAGTATTTTCCAGTGAAAAAATGTGAAATTTTTCCCTGGGTGCGGCTTGGAGTGGGAAAGCGTGAGCAAATTTTCCCTTGAGAAGTGTTAATGAAAAAAAAAGATTAGTTAAAAATTAAAGAGAGTGGCCATGAAACGTAAGGATGAAAATAGCGATGAAAAAAAGATGTGAGGGTTTACCGCACTCAAAAAAATGACTCTTTGAATTTACTTTTTTTTTCGTCAAACTGTTGCACGAAATTAAATTATCTAGATTCAGATACATAAATTGATTAACATTTACTCATTACCAATAAGCAATGTCAACTTAACTATATTTTGCAGGATTTACTTCAATAACTTCAGTAACTTTAACGAAAATGAATCATGTTCTTTCTACTTAAGCAAATTATGTAGATTGTAAGAAACTTTTTTTAGTTAAACCAACTCAAATTTGATGCCTTTCTGATGACATTTACTCATTGCTTGTAAGTTTTGTCAGCTTAATTATATTTTGTAAAATTTCCTTGGTGTAATTTCAACTAAATTTAATCATGCTCATGCTATTTCATTAAATTATGTAGATTGTTAAATAACCTTTTAGAAAAACTACTAAATTTACGTATTTCCAAACAGTTACTCATTGTTTATTATGTACAACAGCTTAATTATATCACAGACCATTTATTAATGTACAATTTTAAAAGTTAATTTTCACAAATTAAACTTCAACTACACTTAATTAATGTTCCATCTATTTAAACACCTGGTCAAGACATGAATGACTATCATGACAATAAAAAAAAAAATTACAGTGACTTTATTTAGGTACATCAAATGCACATGCATATTAGGATTAATTAAAATACACATTTGCTTTACCACTATAGAAAACAACACTGAATATTAAGTAATAAAACAAGACTGTAGACAAAATAAAGCAGAGTAGTAAAAAAATAGACTAAATACTTCTCTATAAGTACACAGCTATCAATACATTATTGCTTGACTTGCAGGCAACACAAGCTAAAATGCAAGTTTACATACAACAATAAGCTTCAAACAGAACACTGCAATTATAAACACATTCACCTAAATGTGTGTGCCTTTAATCACAATTAATTAAGTAATGGCCCAGAATTTGTGAAACAATGAAGTAACATTCAGTAATTACACCAACCTTCAGTGCAACTTTACAACAGCAGATATTTAAAACAGAACAGCACAATAACAGTATTAATGTTATACGACTTTATACAATATCCAGTTCTCATCAATGATCAAAATAATGCCCAAAAAATAGTGCCTACAGAGTACAACCTTCTTGTCAAAGCACTGCCTCTTGTTAGCACAACCTTATTTTGCTTGTTAGACTTTGCAAATTTAGGGTGAAAATTTATAGAGCTCAAATTGTTCAAAAGGCTACTTTGTACACTGTTAGCAAAAAAGACTAAAATTTAACTGCATGCTGTTTTAAGACAAATTGTTCTTAAACATGACCAGGATCTTGACATGTTGTATAGAATGTGACTTAAGCGTTGTTCAAAAGTCCATTGCTTTTCAAGCAAAGGACAAGCTAGTGTGAAAAGTTCCATATATTTCCAGAAAGGACAGCCTACTTTGACTATCCCAAGATTTTGTTCTCCAAACCAAGAATATTAGGGGAGAACTTTGTACCATCCTTTGGCATGAGGAATGTACAAATTCATAGCAGCATTTCTGCCCATTGTGGTGAGCCATATTCAGTACAGATTACTCCAAGCATTACTGCAGTCTGGTGCAACTGATTTGATGTTTCCTACAATAATGTTTCCATCAGTGTCACTGTCTTCATATGCTCCAAGAGCTCCACCCTCTTCTGATGACATAAATGTCCATTTCAGTGCTGTGCTGGTCTCTCAATATGTCTTCACCATGAATGTCCTACAAATTAAATCTTGTTATTAATACTAAACTTCACTGTTCTCTTGCTCCATAAAGAGTAAGTTCAGTTTATTTTTCATTTGAGCTCTTCTAAATACTTCCAGGCACCTCAGACAGTAAAATACTTATTTTATGATGAATCTTAATAAAATCAGCCCCCATCTCCACAAAACTCCATTCAATGGTAAAATACACATTACAAAATTGATAGTTCTAGCTCACCCTTCTCACACTAGCACCTACAATCTATGGTTGGTGCTAACATACTAACACACCAACGCCGCGTTTCGATTTCGATTGACTATACAGATGGGAGGGGGCTGATTTTATTAAGCAAATGTTATTAGCAATTGATATAAGAACAGAGGTGCCTGGAAGACACACACAGAGCACAAATATGAAATAAGATGAATTTACCTAGAAATTAGAAGTGAATTAGAATGATGGTGATGTACTTAGGTCACATACTGACTTACCATGTACTCCTTGATGAGAAATCCATCATCATCATTCAGGTGCGGACAAAGAGCTTTTATGATGGCTTCTCCGATCATCTTAGAGACTGAAAAATGATTACTAATTTGAACATTAAAAAAATAAATAAATAAAAAGCAGCTTTACAAAACAAATAGCCTCATAGTTAAATATCAAATCTGGATCATAAAAATGCACTTACCAGAGACTTAGAACATGCCACAGAATCCTTTAAAAGATGGCACTCAACAACCTTGTTAAGCCTTAACCTATAAACAAAGAGGACATTTAAATAAAATTAAGTGAAAGACCATGTTAATATTTTATCTTAAACATAAGCTTTACTTTAATGTTTTATCGCTGTACCTTAATGTTTTATCTCACCATGTGGAAGGACATAACAGTGCATTATTTTGGCTATAATTTAATAGTCTTACAATAATATATATTTTATTCATATTTAGCTATTTGGTTTAATCCTGTGAACAATATTTTAGTTTGAAACCAATTATGATATTTAAGTCACTTCAATGTTCTTTTAATCAATATGGCTATCAGGATTCCCTGTCTAGGGTTTGTGCATTATTGAGCATCAAAATCAAAGTAAAAATATAGCCGCAAGCGGCAATGAGCGGGTTCAAGCATGCAACAGCAGCACGGGCCCTCCTGCAGGTTTAGCCCATTAGGCCTAAAAAGGTCTCAAGCTGTGGGTCTTATTCATAGGCAGAGTGAATAGAACTGATAGGAAGTCAGCTCATCAAAAGGCCTTCAGTTGCCATAAACAAGAAGCAGTGGTGTTTTAAACACATTATAGATTTGCATTCATATGTACTGATCTACACTGCTTTGTAGAACATCCAAGAAGTTGCACTTGCACAGTGGATTGGTTCTATATTTAAGCCACTGATTTGATGTAGGCCATAATGAGGCCCAATGCACTCATAAGAGGCCCTATTGGTGTGAGGAGCTCAGTGAAAGTGGGTCAGAATGAGTGAAAAGGCCACAATATGGTATCATTCTTGATCAGGGACCAAGTTTTGGTCAGAATGACCTTTTGACCTTTGTATAATAAGCCTTTGCATAGCGAAATCTTTGAATGAATAAACCAAAATAAAAGACAAGCAGTGCAATTTTTGACATAACATGTAATTAGAAAGTTGTTCAGGTCAGTGAACTGAGTCACACGGCACCAATCGTTTATCTGTTGACCTTGTAATAACATTGTAATAGCATTTTAATTGATTTTTAAGTGTTTTGGAGTGCTAACGCGCCCCCTAAAGGCCAATCTGGACCAAAATTGGCATACACCATTCAAGGCTAAATATGTACATATGCATAAAGTTTGGAGATGATCTGACCAATGACTGTTGAGTTATAGTAAATCAAGCTAGCAATGCCATGTTTACAGTAATTAATTGGTTAATGCTCAATACACTGAGTGGAACAGTCAAAATGTTTTTGATAATTATTGAGGATCTGTGTCTTCTGAATCTTAAGATACTAATTTGATGATAATTGGCAAAACATCCTGAGACTAGTTCGCAAGAATAGGTTTTTCACATTATGCAAATTAGCTCAAAAACTAAGGGGGTGGGGCAAAAATTTACCAAGGGTGCACAGCAAGTCCCAAGGAATCAGCAGAAAAAAGAATTTTGTCTTTATCTCACTCTGATCAAAAGTTACAGGCAAAAATATGAGTAAAGTTGAAAAAGATGAAAAATAGAAACAGAGGACTAAAGTAAAGTATGAGCTGAGTGAAAGTGGGTCAGAATTAGTGAAAAGGCCACAATATGGTATGATTCTTGATCAGGGACCATATCCAAAGATGTTTACCAAGTTTTGGTCAGATTGACCTTTTGACCTTTGTATAATAAGCCTTCGTATAATGTAGTCTTCGAATGAATAAGCCAAAATACAAGACAAACAGTACAATTTGTGACAGAACATGTACTTGGAAAGTTGTTCAGGTCAGTGAACTGAATCACATGGCACCAAGTATTTATCTGTAGACCTTGTAATAACATTGTAATAGCATTTTAATTGATTTTTAAGTGTTTTTGAGTGCTAAAGCGCCCCCTAAAGGCCAATCTGGACCAAAATTGGCATACACCATTCAAGGCTAAATATGTACATATGCATAAAGTTTGGAGATGATCTGACCAATGACTGTTGAGTTGTAGCTAATCAAGCTAACAATGCCATGGTCGCAGTAATTAATTGATTGATCCAAATGACCCTAAGTAGAAAAGTCAAAATGTTTTTGATAATTATTTACCTACACATGCCAAAGAATTTTTCCAGACCAAGTTCGAAAAGATTGGATCAAAATCCAGGGACTAGTTCGAAATGTAGGCTTTTTAAACAGTTACGAATTACAAAAAAACTATGCAGTTTTGTAATAAATATGCATTTGCAAAATTGTTTGGAATAACGTACTACATATGATATACAAGGATTTTCAAGCAAACTTGTAATAAAATAGTAATAATATGTAATATGTTAATTTTTATGAAAAAAAAAGCCCCCCAGTGGTCAATTTTTCTCAAACTTTATTGATTGTTAGAAAGTGGCTATATGAAGAGATCATTCAAGTTTCATGATGACTGGTCAATGTTAAGCCTGTCAAAAGCCTGCTAAATGCTGATTGGCCGATGGCGACCATGTACTTCAATTAATCAAATTGTCCTTAAGGACTCACTTACAGTCTGGCCAACAGATGGTATTTACAAAGTTTCAGCTTGATTGGATGTACGGATGCTGAGAAACAGCCATGTAGCATTAACTCCGCCCCCTAATGACATATGCGCACAAAAATCGAATGGCTACCTCAGAATCTTCTCCCAAATGTGTCTGTCAAGTTTGAAATTTTTTGGCTGAAGGATTGTCGAGTTACAGAATTTTCAATTAATTCTGAATTATTTTGAATTTATCCAGAAGGGTTCATTTGCATATGGCAGCCATGTTGTTTCGAAAAGTCAAAATGTTTTTGATAATTATTGAGATTCAGGCTCTTCTGAATTTTTTGACACCAAAAACATGAGGATCAGGAAAAAATTGTAGGACTAGTTCGCAAAAGTAGGTTTTGCATTTTATGCAAATTAGCTCAAAATCTAAGTGGGCGGAGCTAAATGGTCCAAATAGCAAAGTTGTTTGTTTGGACCCAAGGAACTTGGAAAAAATTATGGCTTGTCTGCGAAAAATCTGGTTTAGGAGTTATAGACCCAAACGCATTGACGTGCACTATAGCGCCCCCTTGTGGCCGACTGGGCTGATTCCTTGCGCCTGAGTAGCGGGAGTGAGTACTACCTATTGACCAAGTTTGGTGTCTCTAGGACTTACGGTTTGGGCTGTGCGTTCCGTTTCAGGGCAGAAAAGGAATAGGAAGAAAAATCTTGACAATTTCAATAGGGTTCAATGCATTGCATGCTTGAACCCTAAATATAGCCGCAAGCGGCAATGAGCGGGTTCAAGCATGCAACAGCAGTATGGGCCCTTCTGCGGGTTTGGCCCATTAGGCCTAAAAAGGCCTCAAGCTTTACGTTTAGCCCATTAGGCCTAAAAAGGTCTTAAGCTGTGGGTCTTATTCATAAGCAGATTGAATAGAACTGAAAGGAAGTCAGTTCGTCAAAAGGCCGTCACCTGCCATAAAAAGTGAGCAGAGGTCTTTAAACACATTATAGGTTTATCTTCATATGTACTGATCTACACTGGTTTGTAGAACATCCAAGAGGTTGTCAACATACATGTCAAAACTACATGACTAATGGCAGCATTTCTCACTTAGTAGCACTTGCACAGTGGATTGGTTCTATATTTACCCTTTGGTTTGATGTAGGCCACAGTGAGGCTAATGCACTCATAAGGGGCAGTAATGGTGTGAGGAGCTCAGTGAAAGTGGGTCAGAATTTGTCAAAAGGTCTCAATATGGTATGATTATTGATCAGGGACCATATACAAGGCTGTATCCTAAGTTTTGAGTAGACTGACCTTTTGACCTTTGTATAATGTAGACTTTGAATGAATAAAGCAAAATAAAAGACAAGCAGCGCAATTTTTGACATAACATGTAATTAGAAAGTTGTTCAAGCGAGTGAACTGAGTCACACGGCACCAATTGTTTATATGTCGACCTTGTAATAAGCATGCTTGAACCCTAATAAGAAAAATCTTGACAATTTCAATAGGGTTCTACGCACTGCGTGCTTGAACCCTAATAAGAAGAAAAATCCACACAATTCCAATAGGGTTCTACGCACTTCGTGCTTGAACTCTAATAATAATAATAAGAAAAATCTTGACAATTTCAATAGGGTTCAATGCATTGCATGCTTGAACCCTAATAATTACTTCTACCACTTGGCACTTGAAGACCATAATGTTTAACATAAATGCAGGGTGACTTAACATAAGGAAAACCTGATTTTGGTAACAATGACAGGGGAGTCACATAAGCAAAATGTGTGTGTGTGTGCGCACCATCTTATATACAAAATTATATTTTGATTATAATAATGATTAATGACACTCTGCTGTTATACAGACAAACAAACCTCTTTTCCACCACAGGGCTAAACAGTTATCATTAGCTTGCTAATTAACAAGATAACGGATTCTATTATGCCGAACTAAATCTCCACTGACAATTCTGATAGAGCAAAGTCGAGCGATTGGTGTTGAAGGAACAGAAAGCTGAAATTAATGTTAAACCTGCTTCATGGTGCTTGTAGCCTACTAGCTAAGTTAGCCAGCTAGCTGCTAACACTAACGTTTGCTGCGCTAACGGTATCAGAGCCCATGCTGGAACACCACATTGCGAACTGGGTTCATCGAACAAAGCATTAAGTCTTAAATGGACAAATTTTGAAATTAAACCAGGTAGCTGATGTCTGTAACCTACTAGCTGCTAACGCTATGTTTGCTAAGCTAACGCTAGCTACAATAGCATTTGCAGGCTCCATCAGAAACCGGCTCTGGCTCCATATGCAAACTCCTAGCTAGCTAGCTAACAAAGGCTGAAATTACACAGGTTTGTGGACACCTAGCACCCAAATATCACATCCGAAATCACAGGTGAAGCGAGCACAGCCTCCTCCGTGGGAAAAGATTATTGCAGGCCATGTCAAGGACACAGCTAGGTCTGTCTACTTCAAATATGCGTTGAATTGAGCCCCTCACAAACTTACGCTATGCTAGTCGTCCCTTAACTGTACGTTTTCATCACAGTTATATCCAGCGCTGCGTTGTTTGTGCGTCTACAACCATCTAAACGATATTTTACCGTGTATCTGTACGATGACACAGCAGCAAAATGCTGCAGTGA